TGCTAGGCTTATAATGGGAAAGCTTAATGGCAAAGAGCATCATCTGAAATATCCAACTTAACCTAGCTTCAGAAATCTTAAAAAAAATTGCCTGATGCACCCATCAGGCAATTTTTTTTCTTAAGATTTCTGAACAAAGTGCAGACAGACCAGTAACTGCAAATACTGTATATAGGTTTACTACTAAGTAAATTGGTATGATGATCTCTGTAAGTAGTAATTGAGTATACCTAGTTATAGATATATTCAAACATATATCAGTACCCCAGAGCCAAAGGGCAGTGTTCATTTTTATACCAAAATGAGTTAAATGCACCTTGATATTTCTCTAATAGTGTAAATGCTGTTTCAGTGGTCAGCTGTCCTACTTCCAATAGGAGCAGAGATAGCCAGTTATATAAGGCATATGTCACAGTTCAAGTTAGAAGTCAAGAATTGAAAGGACTCATGCCCCATGTGAGTCCTTTCAACTCTGACATAGGTGAGTGAAATAGCACAAATGCACTGAGCGAATTAATTTTCTGAGATATAGATTTATGATAGGACTTGGCTGGCAAAGTAATCTTCAGTCAATAACTCTTCAAAATGGTTACATTAAAAGGATTTTAATGCAGCCAGTTTGTTCTTTGTTATATATATGAAGATGTCTGTTATAAATGGATGAAAATATTAGTAAATATTTCTTAATTTCAAGTGTGCTGGTATTGGTATGTTGTGCATGTGTATTCTATCCCAGTATTGGAGAGTTATTGACTGAAGATGATTTTTGCTGGCCAAGTCCTATCATAAATCTGTTCTAAAACTATACAGAATATTGGCTAAATTAAGTTTTCTTAGTCACTGAAACATGATTGCATTTCTGATAGTTTCCAATTTCAGTGATATGTTTGTACCATAATTTATACAGATGTATATTATACATTCTGTATAAATATTAAAACAAATTTCATCAAACATTCCTGTAATCAGCAGTGTCTACAGAACAAATAACATTGCCAAATTCAACAATTTGCAAAAGCTCTGCAAATGGGTCCCAACATCTCTTAAGGAGTTTTACAAAGCACTTCATCACTCAGGAACAGAAAGCATCAGATGAATATGAGTAACATGGCATCTATTTTTTCAGTATCTAAATCATTTTAGGCAAATGTTTCTACTCAAAACTTGATGTTCCTTCTTTTATGTTCCAAAAAAGACCTGGCATTGTTAATACTATTTGGAATTATAACAACACAGTTAGTAAATAGATTGATTACCATTATTGTATTCTGTATTTCTATGTTGTATTTTGGAGATTACATTCAGAATGGAATAAAGCTGAAAAAAGTACTATTAAGCATACAATTACCATTTTCAAACAGCCTGATATCTTTGGATTTTTCAGTGTTAACAATAATAAAATGGACTTTTGCCTAGGTAAGGTATTAAATTAGTTTGAAATAGAGACTGCAGGGTGGGCATGGTCATGTAATCCAAAAATTGGTTGATGCTATGTCACCGAGGTTGTTGTCAGGCTAGGCTATATAGTGAAAGTAACAACAATTGGCTTGTACTTTTTGAATTACAAACACAAAAAATTGATACTATATGGTTTTTCATTTTGAAAACTTTAGTTTTTGTAATGTATGTTCTTTGGCTTCTAAGCTACAAATACATTGATGGGCAGATTTCCAAGGTAATCTTATGGTGTCAACCTACTATTCTAGGAGACTAGAATCAAATCTGGGCAAGTAACCCCAGGAATATTTTTATGAGTGGTTTGTCCTGGATTTGTTGGGCCCTGTCCCTCAACACTTGGCCACTCCTATTGTGGACTTGGCCAAACCCATAATGGATATGATTAAAAAGGTTCTCTTAGTGTACACAGATCAGAAAGAGTCAAAAATGAAAATAAATAAATAAGGATTTCTGGACCAATTAAGATGAATCAGTATGTCCCCAAAATGACATACTGGTACAGTACCTTTACCATCTAGACCAGTGGTAGTCAACTTGGTCCCTACTGCCCACTAGTGGGTGATTTGAGCTTTTGTGGTTGTTGGTAGGGGTTTGTCTGATGCTGAAGCTACTTTCCGTTATCACCGCGCACCTATGACTCAGTGACAGAGCAGACTGTACTGTAACAGTGGCCATCACTCGTGTTGAGCTCGTTTCGTGGTGGGATCAGTGTTACCAGATTTAGCTACTTTTTTCAGTTTGATGTAAAAAAATACTTGGCACACTGGCAAAATAAATTTCTGTGTATTATAACATATACAAAATATAAATATAAAGATAAATTTAACTACAAATTTTTACTAAACTGCCACTCAAAAATTATGAGTACTTTGCAGTTGCACTAAATTAATTTACTGCAAAACTGGTGGGTGGGTTAGAAAATTTTACTACCAACAAAGATACAAAAGTGGGTGGTAGTTATTTACTAACTGTGTTGTTATAAAAGATACAGAAAGTGGTAGGTAAAAAAATTGACTATCCCTGATCTAGACCATTTAGTGTCCCATTATTTTGCAATTCAGCAGTTTTCTTAATTATTTTGTCAAATAATGCAACTGATAAAATGTTTTTGGCTAGAAGTCTGCCCAAAATCAATAAGAACAAGAAAAAAATGCAGAGTAAAAATGAGTTTGAAAAATTTAAATTAATTATACAAGTATGAAAAAGTCTGTTCTTGATAAAAGATAATTTCACTTAATATTTTTTTTTTATTACTATTTTTTATTTTTATATATATATAATCTAAAATTTGGTTTTGTAGTTTCCATTGAGTAGAAAATTGTGATGTTTGTTAGTGGTATCAAAGAGAAATTACTTTTCAGATGTTTATTCTTTGTCTTTTAGATACTTTTGTTGTGTTTTTTAAATGATAAAGCATTCTTAGTTTTATGTATTTCATTATTCCATACAAGATATATTTCTTTGTAAAATGTATGCTTCATAAGATATATAAAAAGTCATATGAACAATAATGCTTTAGGAAAACTACTAACTGTGATATTTTATTATTTTCATTAAAGATTATATAGTAAAAATCAATTTAAAAAATGTTTAATCTAAAATGTTTAAAAGTTAACAGTTATTATATTAATAATGATGTGTTTTATTGGTTCTATTTTTGTTACTTTTTGGGCTGCAATTTGAAAAGTTATAGACCTATAAATTCCCATTGTCATACATCTGTTTGTCTGTCTGTCTTTCCTTAATCTCTAGAATGGAGTTAGATAGATGAAAGTCAAGACTAGATATGGAAAGATTAGGGGCAGGAGGCACTGATTAATATATACGAACTTCCAAAGCAAACTGAAAGTCACATTATTTCAATTCAAAAATTTTTCCCTGAAAGGAGTTAGATAGATGACCAGCACGATTCTATTGCTAATGGAAAATTATGATGTACAGAGGCAAGACACTACTAATTTGAGACAGACAGCATATATTTTAAATTAAAAAATAATTAAAAATAAAAGATTGTAATATTTACAAGCAATTATTTATTATAACATTGTCATAATAAATAATTGCTCGTTAATATTACAATATTTTATTTTAATTATTTTATATAATTATTATCTTACCAAACAATTTTTCTTTCAACAACAATCTGATTATTCACTTGTGAAAATTAATGAGATATTGTTTACTAAATGTAAATTCTATTAACTGAATAACTATTTCTTAACACTTTTTTTATATTAATATTTCATAATTGCATGTGCATGTTTATGCAAAATTTCCTGTTAGTTTTACAGACTAGAATAATAAAGTATAATGTATATTATGAAAGTTATATTGATTTATTGTTCATTTAAACTAGTGTGATTTCTGTGAGTTATATAAAAGCACACAATACAGATTAGATAACATACAACACAATTATTTATTAACTCGCTAGTTCAAATACAGGATTTCATAGGATACCAACAATTTTAGTTGTCCCTTTTTCCCGAATCGAACATTTGATTAACTAAAATTATCTTACTTAATACTAGGTTCCTATTATGACTTAGACTAATTGAATATAGCCGGCTTATTCGAAGATTTAGAAGGTGAAAGAAAAGAATAAGGAAAGAGGGTACCCAAAACTTGATGATGCAGGTTGAAGTATATGGGCTCGTGGATGAGGCTTCTCGTCGGTCTGGGGGGAGAGGGGCTGATTCACTCAATTCTTGTTTCACACAGATATTAATCCAAAGGGGTGATCCGTCTGGTTCCTCTCATTTAAGTTCCTTTTTCTTCCTCTTGTTCTAAAGTTATCTATTTCTCATCTCACCATACAATGTCCAACTTACAGGGGAGGCTTTCCTTACAATCTCCCCTATCTACTTCCTCCCTCTCAGTCTCCCTGTCCTTTCCCTTCTCCTCTCACTTCCAGTCTCCTTCGTTTCTCCTCTCCTCTAACTCACTTCGTTCTCCCCCTTCTTAACTCCCCCTCGTTCCTCCTCTCACTTTAGTCCACTCATATCCCCTCTCAAAAGCTTTTCATTCATTCCTTTCCTCTCAGTTCACCCACACACTAAAGTCAATGGAAAGATGATAACATTATAGAAGAGTAAACAAATAGGACAAACGAAGGTGAAGTGAAGATATATATACATATATATATATATACGGTTTAAAATATGGCGTGTAGCCACACTAGAAATTGAAAAAAAAATTGTTAAGAGTGTGATAAATGGTCTCTGCCTAAAAGAGAATTGCACATCAAGCATGAAATTCATATGAAACAATGTAATAAATAGTGTATTTTACTAACAGAGATTGAATTGATTCTGTTCCTTAATATTTTTAATTATTAAATTTACAAGTTAAATTTTATAATTTTATTTATATAGAAGTTTTTTTAATATTGATTAGTTTACTGAGCTCATTTTAAATAATTTATAACATTTTACATAATATTCAAATGCATTTGACTTGTTCATTTTAAAATATATTGAAAGAATATATTGAATTTATATATTGAAATTTATATTGAAAAATTATGTGTATTTTCTTTATAGACAGCACAGCAAAGATCTGAAGTTGATCTTGGACAATATTTGGCTCTTCAGAAGACAAATCAAATACTTCGGGAACGTCTAGAACAACTTGAAAAAATTGTTTCAGAAAAAGAGAATGCTGTATGATAATTTATTTATTTAATTTTATATTACCTGTTTTATTCAAATAATAACTGCCTTCAAATAGTAAGTGTCTATTATTCAAGGATTTCTGAAAACTTAGAGTAACAATGTAAACTTAATAAATACCATAAACTATTGTGGATAGGTATCATATTTATTTATTTAACAAACTTTAATAGAAAATGAAATATGTAAAATGTACAATATACAGTAAGTATACTTTTTAATTATTTTCTTATTACTGGTAAATTCAATGACTTACACTGGGTATATGTAATTAAATATTACACATAAAACCAATATTCAGCCTGAACTACAAAAAACTGCAAAGGCAAATGTTTTTACTTGTGATAAATAGTCATTGTCAGGCTAAAAGATCGACAGTGTCTGAATGCAGCTGTTAAAACAAAACTTGTAAGACTAAACATCATCGAATGACTTCCATGCAGGGGAAGGAATCTACCATTTACCTTGAATAGCTGTATTTTTATAGTTTTTTAGTGTTTTGTTTTAACAGCTGCATTCAAACTCTGAATGTCTTTCAGCCTGATGATGATCTGATCATTTAACAGTATTTAATTATTACTGATATATAGTCATTATAAAGAAGGATATCAGTTACTATTTCAAGCATAATTTGCTTTAAAAATCAAAATTTTCATCATTAAATATTTAATCATGGACACAAATGAGTATGTTCAAAGGAAAAATAATAATTGTCCTAAAATAATAACTACCCTTGAATAATAACCACAGAGAAAATATGCAGTTTAAAATAGTAGCCATGGCTATTATTTGAATAAAATCAATATTTAAATATTATTTATTTTATAAATTTGAAATACAAAATGAACATATTATAATTATATCTAAACTGTTATACTTAATTCATTTATTCCACTCTGCTCTTGATTCAAAAATTGAATTTGGCACCATTTATTAGAGATATTATGGAGATATAAATAATAAAATTATTAACAAATAAGAAAAACGATGTTATAAAAAATAATTATAATGATGAGAAGTTGGTAATTTAATTTTTTAGCAATGTTATATCAGTGACAAGTTATTTCTTCCAGTAGAAGTATTTTTATTTATTAGATGTTTTTGACTGACTGAGCAGCCATCTTCAAGATTAGAACAGTAATGGAATGGAATATAGAATCCTATATTCTTGATTCTATAAGCCATTCTATTACTGTTCAATCCTGAATTTGGCTGTCCAGTCAGCCAAAAAGTTTGATAAATAAAAACATTTCTGTGGAAGAGGTTTGAACTGTTGTTAATGAATGAAAAACACCAGTTTATGAGTCTTAATATCATATCAATCAATTAATATAAACAAGTGTGAATGGACTGATATAATAATTATGTTGTGAAATTAATATTATCATATGAACTAATGTTAATATGGTAATATTATAATCCAGTAATAGTTATAATATTGCCATATGTTTTATTGAATAACTAAAATCATATAGTCATCTAAAATTTGATTTTTATATTTTACTTAAAAAATTAAAATGCTAGATCTTTTGACAGAATATATATATATTATATTCATAATATTTTCATGTCATTTTCATAANATATATATATATTTATATTATGAAAATGACATTAGAAGAATAAAAAAATATTTAATAAAATAAATACAGATTAATTTCTAAAATAATTGATTATTTATAAATATATTTGCAAATACTGTATTATTTATGAAAATAGAAGTCTAAATAAAAATTAAAAAAAGGTCATACTTATTTTAAAAATAAAAAATTGCAAAGGGAACATATTTACATATGTCACTTCAAGGAGAGGTGGCAGTAAGAGAACATTGTGACATAATGTGACAAAGGAGAGCAGATGTTCATTCTGCAAAGTAATGTCACATTTGCAGTGGACAAACATTTATACTCCTTTTAATTAAAGTATTTGATCTAATTATTTCATTAATTCTTATTAACAAATAACCTATTTGTTACAGTACGAAATGCATCATAAGTTTCATTCATGATTTGGAATGACCAATACATCAGACTTTGAATGGAATTGAAATATCTGAAGTCTATCCTGACAAATGAAAATATGCACTATTGTTTTTGTGTCAATAATGTGTTTGAAAGTTTCTACAAAGTTTAAAAGCTTATTTTAGTACAGTGCCATATGATGCCTTTTACTCCTCATTAAAGAATCTTTTGAATTACTGAGTGTGCAAAAAAGTAGCTTGTTTGATTCATCAATCAGCAGTTTGAAGGTGCACACAATAATATGCCAACAAAGAAATGCAATAGTGTTCAACCAGTGCAATAGTGTAACCAAGTTGTGTTGCATCCATTAGACAAAGAGAACTTATGATTCTGATTAAAAATTTAGAATAAGCTGAAGAGGTAACGACAAGAAGATGCTATGAATTTAACTAATATTGCAGTTCTTATAAATAGTTTATCAACTAGTTGAATTCTCATGATAGATACAAATCAATACATGTATTCTGAACAAGATTGCCAAGAACTTATACAGTACCTGGGGATAGAGTGGTGTCGCTGTAGTAAGTTTTCGAATTAATGATATATGTAGAATGTTTTTTAATGAATAAAACACAATTTTAAAGATTTTATCTTCTGTTGTAAAAATAACATTTATTTTATAGGCTAGGAACCATTACAGGCCCCTAAGCTTTCTCTGGGCATGGGGAAAACTTTCCAACTTCCCTTCTATTAACAGCTCTAGTTCTTAGTGATAAATGTTAAGTTCATTATTACAAAGTAAGCTTGTGCAATAAAACTTCTTCAATAAAAAGCAAAAACAATTTTGCTTTTATATCATAACACTGGTAGGCAGGACTCTTAAGCCTTGGTAGGCAACCTGCATAAGAGAAGGAAAACTCTGATCAGAAACCGTGAGGAAGGCAACGGGAAACCACCTCAGCTATACCTCCCTTGTGAATGGAAAGCAGAAAACCTATTTATTGTACTGGCAAATATGGGACTCATCTCCAAGAGAAAGGTGTCATGCCTGGCAGGGGAAGTTATGGGGCTTCCCAGGTCGTCACCATGCAAAACCCCCATAGGAAGACCTCCATAGGAAGAATTCGAATAGGAACATGGAATGTAAGAACCATGCTTCGACCAGGTAAGTTGGAAACTGTCAAGAGAGAAATGAAGAGGCAGAATTTGGATATTCTTGGGCTTAGTGAAGTTAGATGGGAGGACAGCGGTGATTTTTTTAGCGATGAATTCAGGGTTATTTATTCTTGTGGAACTAAAGGAAAGAATGGTGTAGCATTTATTTTAGGTGAGAAGGTAAAAAACTCAGTTGAAAGAATTGAATGCAGAGGTGACAGAATTTTAATGATTAAAATAAAAAGCGATCCCATGGATATGATGATATTTCAAGTATACATGCCTACTGGAGACTATGACGATGAAGAAGTAGAAGAAATTTATGACCAAATTGAAGATATAATAGAAAATGATAAAACTAAGAAATGCCTAATTGTTATGGGAGACTGGAATGCATCTGTAGGAGGAGGAGGAGATGGAAAAATTGTGGGCAAGTTTGGGCTAGGAAATAGGAATGAAAGAGGCGAACGACTAGTTGAATTTGCTACCAAGCATCAATTAATAGTTGGAAACACATGGTTCAAACAATCCAAACGTCGACTATACACTTGGAAAATGCCCGGAGACATTGGAAGGTATCAAATAGATTATATTCTTATTCAAAGTCGTTTTAGGAATGCAGTCAAGAAAATTCAGACATATCCAGGAGCAGATGCAGATTCTGATCACAACTTATTAACTGCAGATATTGTGATGAAATTGAAAAAAGTTTTGAGAGCCAAAAGAATAAAAAGATGGAATTTGGAAAAGCTAAATGGAAATACTGGATTAAATTTTAAAGAAAACTTGGAATATAAATTAAAAGAACTTCCATATGACTTTGACTGTGACCTAAAAATTTAAAAATATACAGTAGAACCCCCTATAACACAGGTTCATATAAGACAGATTCGTATAACATGGTGAAAAAATTGTGATCGTGTTCGTATAACATGCTAAAAGAGGTTCGTATAACATGGTAAAAGAATGAGACAGATTGTCACGGCCGACTCATGTCTCAACAGGATTGGTCAAATCTGGATCAATAGTGGACATTGCACAAACCATTGAGTTTAAATGTGCAGCAGATCTACTAAAAAACATTTATTATTCAACGGCCATAAAAATTATATTTCTATTAATTAATGATGTCTCCAAAGTTCAGTGAATTTTTTGCAGAAAGAATAACTTATCAGGAAACATGTGACCGCCATCTGATGAGCCTCTCCGTGACAAAAACAAGCTTAAGCAATGGCGTCTTCAAACAGTGCGCACTCGTTAAGTATTCCTATAATTTTTTGTTTATAGCATAGTTTATATGGATTATTCCGAAAAAATTATACGTGTTTTGGAAATGTTCGAGTCAAATTAGCCTAGAATTGATTAATTTTATGGAAGAAAACTTTTCAAACAGCCGTACCCCCTAAACTGCACAAGTGCCAGGCTGTGAATGGCTCACATATTTGTAAAATCTAAGTGACTCATACAACACGGAATTCATATAACACAGAACATATCTATCATGTTATAGGGGAGTCTACTGTATATATAAGTAAATTTAGCTGACTTTTGTATTTGAAATTTTAAGATTTTTTCAGAAAGTTTCAAGAGGTTTAAAAGATTTTATCTTGGCATAGTATCCAAAAGTACAAAATGTTCTTTTATTTTAGTTATATTTAAGGATTTTTATTTTTTAAAATGTCAAAATCTAATTTAACAAGTATGTGCATGTAATAAAGATCAAGAAAGTGAAAGTAAAATTAATGACTGAAGTTTAATGATAAAGTTTCTATTTCAAAAATGCTTTTATTCCTATTGACTATCTTCATTGATTTATTCAAATTGAAGAAAATTCTAAATACAATTCACTTGCATTGATAAACATATTGACAAAAC